TGCAAGTTGCGCACGTTAAAGATCCCTTGGTGGTCTAAAATCGATAAGAGTAGGCTTCGGCCGCCACCCGGGCAAAATTCAAAAATATCCTACCAACTGAAAATATTAGGTGTGTCCCGCGCGCTCATATGACCATATGCAGTTGCGAGCGCCGTAAAACACTTTACAAAAACAAACAAAGAAAGCACACAAGTCAAACATAATAAAACACAGAGAGAAATAAACAAAATAATAAAACAACAATACCAACAACAACAGCAACACCATTAACAAAAACATTAACATCAACAACAACGACAAGAACAACAGCAACAACATTAACAACAACAACATTAACAACAACAACAACAGCAACAAACAATACACACGCTACTCACAATTCACAGTGACCGAGACCGCATCACTTGTCGTGGATCCCTGCGAGTTGAGCGCGTTGCAGAAGTACTGACCACTGTCCGAAGCCTCCGCCGAGAAGATGGTGAGGGAAGGGTTGGCGACGCTACCCCCTGAGTACTTGCTGGAGGACGAGGGTTCGATCCTGCCCACGCCGACCTTTGTCCAGAAGAGCTCTGTGAGAGCAGGGCTGGCGTCTACTATACAGGTCAGTGAGATGATAGCCCGCGTGGTGGTGATAATGGGTGTATCAGTGACGGTCAGTTGAGGGCGATCTGTGGATTTCAATTTATTTATTTATTAATTAATTAATTATTTATTTATTTATCTATTCATTCGTTCATTCATTCATTTATTCATTCATTCATTCTGTAGGATGATAGCCCTCGTGGTGGTGATTCTTCTTTTCTTTTCTTCTCGATCGCATCACACTTGAAGTCTGGTATCTGTCATAAACTGGGTCGTCCTGCTCAGGTCATCTGTCGGCCCGTATAGGTTCTTTTGTAGTGTCAGTGGGGTTGGCCACGTTTCGTGTCTCAGGGCCCTGTGTGTCTTGCAGTGCTGAAGGATGTGTTCAACAGTTTGGTCCGCCTCTCCACACTGGCATTTTGGTGATTGTACTAGTTTAAAACATCTGTACATATGTTGTCTCAGTTTTGTGTGTTGTGTCCTTAGTCGGAAGATAGTGGTGGTAATGGTGGGTGCGTTAGTGACGGTCAGTCAAGGGCGATCTGGGGATTTCAGGTTGTCACCGCTATTTTTTAATTAATTAATTTATTTATTTATTCATTCATTTTGTGGGCTCGTTCTTTCATTCATTTGTTTGTTCGTTCGTCGTTCTTACGTTCGTTCGTTCGTTCGTTCGTTCGTTCTTACGTTCGTTTGTTCGTTCTTTCGTTCGTTTGTTCGTTCTTTCGTTTGTTCGTTCGTTCGTTCGTTCTTTCAGCAGAATGATAGCCCGAGTGGTGCAGCTGATGGGTGTGTCAGTGACGGTCCCTCCGATCTTGACACTGCCAAGGCTCAATGTTACTCATTCATTCATTCATTAATTAATTCATTCATTCAATCATTCATTCATTTATTCATTCATTCATTAATTCATTCATTTATTTTCAGTGTAAATTTAGCGTGTCTAGAAGGTTACGCTGTTTTCCTTTGTATTAGGCTTTGAGTTTTGGTATTGTAAATGTAAATTTCTCCGAGAAGAAGAACGAGAACAACAAGAAGAGTTGAAGACGAACAGCATGAAAAGAAGAAGAACAACAGCAAAACAGAAGACGAACAATCATCATCATCATCCAGTGCTAGATCTGCAACAGACATCGGCGATCATGGTTTTCCATTCATTCCTTTGCTCGGATGCTCTCAAAAAAGCTACGTTTGTTTCCCTGATCTTTTCCTGTTACCCATTTGCTTAGGTTCCCTAAGTATGTTGTTCTGGGCCTACCCCTTCCTCGCTTGCTCTCAATTTTGCCAGTGAGAGCTAGATGTTCAAGACCCTTATGTCTATTCAGGTGTCCCAAAAACTGCATTTGTCGTTTCCTGATTGTTTTTAACA